CTTGAAGATGGAACAGAGCTTTGTACTGTAATTCAAATAATTATATTGAAGTTTTTGGCTCTTGTTTTGAAACATGAGAACTCTTATGTAGTGATGGAATCATATTTTTAATAAATAATTATATATATATATATATATATATATATATATATATATATATATACACACACACAAACACACACAAAAAAAAACATTGAAGGCTATCTTCAGACCATAAAAATTGTGCTCAAGCATGAAACATCTACATGAAAGTCTCTATTTGACAAAGCTATTTAAGAACTTAATGGTAATATTAACCATTTCCTTCTAAGGGAACATTCAGTATTCATTGATAGAACAGCCAGTGCTACTTCTTAGTTGAAATTTATAAAATCTTTCTCTTAAAACAGTTTTTCAGGAAAATAGGTTTCCTAAGTCCAGTAACTGTTATTGCTCTTTCCAGTATTGATGGAGCCTTCCTTAAGATTTTGTTTGAAATAGTGTGGAAGGTCAAAATTATGATTATGTCATTATTTTATCTTTGAGTTACATGTACTATCCATTTTAGATGTTGCTGCTGTTGGTAGTCCTCCAGTTTTCTTATTTGGTACAGTTCTTTGCTTGTGATTCTGTAGCCCCCAATCCACAGTGTTCAAAGAATGATGATCTTTGCCAACATCCTCAGGCTTCATTTGCACAAAGCCTTTTTTCACCATTGATCTTAGGAAATAGTTGCATCCAGCTGACAGTTTAGATATTTCTGAATAGGTTTTTTCACCATGAATGACATCTAATATGAAAGTCTCACTCTGACAAGACTATTTAAGAACATGACTCTAGTTTTCAGGTTGATGTTTTGGTTTTGTAGCAATTGGCAGTATGGGGCAAAACTACCTATGGTACAGCTTATTCTATGTTCAATTTATTTTTCTCTTATGCTTTTGTTATAACTGATCTGTATCCTGAGATATCTGAAGTGTTTCATATTTTGGATTTCTGGATTTTTATGATGAATTAATCACTGCTTCCATTCCAGTTCCAGATCATAGTTTCTATTTTGGAAAGGTATCTCTTGAATCTCATTTCTTGGAACACTTGATAGAGGATGGTGATTTTCTATTCCAGATCATTCTTATCCCCACTATAAATCTCTATGTGATCAGCATATCTCCCATCATCATCAGTACATTGGTCAAGGGAGAGAAAGCAAGATCATTATCTTCTATTGATTATACACATTGGGGATGTGATATGGAATGTTTACATCATCAGTGCTCATCTCGTCACATCTGTGTTTGTAAATGTTCATGGCATAGTCTAGGAAGAGATTAAATAGATTGGGACTCTCATTTCCTCCTTGTTGTACACCTGATGAGGTCTGCAATGTTTCCATATTGGGGTCCTTGTCAGACATGTATGGTTCTGTGTAATGATGTAGTTTCTCTATTAGATTGATGTATTCAATAGATTCAGTGCTTGGAAGGCAGTTTCTAATGGATAAGAAGAGGAAGTCTCTATTGATGTGGTCATATGCTGCTGTCATGTCAACAAAGCAGGTATACTGTTTCCTATTAGAGAGGTATTTCTGAAGTGGTTTGGTGCCATGAATGGAGAGCTCAAACTTGTATCATATGTTAAATACACAGAAAACAGATTCATGGTATGGAGATTAGAATAAATGACAATGCAAAAAAAGCTCACTTTTTTGCTCTCATTCTGCTATCATTCTGATTATTTTTTTATATACATTCAGTACATCACTCCAAAATCCCTTCCATTTAATTCAGTTCCTATTAAATAATGTAGCAAAAAAAAACTGTATCATTTTTCTTAACTCTCACAGAGAGCTCAAATCTATTTTCTCTTTTCTTGTTTGGGCCAAGAACTTTTTAGCACCCCACTTTTTTTATGCTACTTCTGTCATTTAATAACTGTTAGATTTATTGTACAAAATATGTATGTCCACGAGACAACTATTATTGGACGTAGGTAGTATTATTTATTGTAAGTTATAATCTGAATTTTCCTGTTCTGCTCTTGTAATAAAGTTTTGAATTGCTTTCTTTTTAAGAATAAGCAATCAAGTCAGTTGACCAAATTGAATCTCTATTGTATTTTATTAGTCATTCCAAACCTAGCACATTATGTTTTCTCTTTGTTTAAATTTTATTTCTGTCAGTTTACGTTTTAGGTGAACAGTCTAGAATAATAACAGAATTTGCATAATTCTTGCCTCAATTTTTACTTTAAAAAAAAAATCTTTAAAATACTTTATATATTGTCTCTAATTTCATTTAATGTTGCATAGTAACAATTTTTGGCACTACTGAGGTTGCAGCTTGGATTAAGAAATCGGAGAGCAGAGTTTGAATTCCACTCAAGTTCATTGCATTCACTTATGTGCTAATACCCTTGGGAAAGGCATGAATCCATCTCTTCTTCCCCCTCTACTAGCTATGGGCAAATAGCAGAACAGATTAGGCTCTATAACATTTGTTAGCAACCAGTCTAGGAGAAGGAAAACTCTGAATTGTAACCAGCCTAGAGATGGTTGAGCTCTGTTAGTCTCTGTCTTGCCCATAAAACACCCTAACTGCTATGGCTGCATTAGATGTGGTGCCTCGTATGACCACAAGGGTTACGAGATCAGTGATTTTGAGGTGAAATGGTCTGTTCATAAAAATAGGGAAAACTTTTTGGAGATTTTCATTCATTATATGTTCCTCTACTCATCACTCAATTGGGAAAAGGAAGACATCAGTAGTATCAATGATCAAAGCAGTTTCCAACTTCACATTGGTAAATAAAAACAAAGTATACATAAATCTTTAAAAAGTCAGAGATCAATTTGACACTTTATCTATATTATGAACTGCACCCCATCTTTTAATTTGATAAAAAGTTGATTCTAATAAATGTTATGGAGAGAAGAAAGTCTAATGAATGCTAATCTACAGAAATGATCCACTACCATTTTTTTTTTTCAAATTTTAATTAGCAGATCACTTAATTTAAATTGAGATGGATTTTGTATAAGCCAAGATGTCAGGTCTGGACCAATAAAATTGCAGATTCTTCTTCTCCAAATATTTATTAGGAACACTAGACCAGATGTGACAGCGATATTCAAAGCAAGGATGAATCGTAGACTTATAAATACGTAAGATAGATTCTGCTGAGAAAGATTGTCTAGCTTAATACAGCGAACCAACTTTCCTAGCAGCAAGCCTAGCAATTGATTCAATATAAACATTCCAGTTATAATGAGTCACTTTGTGGTTAGCATCAGCCATGCTGATGGAAGGTAAAAAGGTTCTCTCAGATAATTAAAAGAAAGTTGTTTCATTTTGGAGGTATTAAAATTTCCAAGCCATTTCTTACCCAAGTTGAGGACAGATTATAGGTTATTTTTTGGATCAGCTGTTAACTCAACCTTATCGAACTGATCAGACTTACTATAAAAATTACTATATTTTTAATATGCAGTTATCAATGAATCATGTTTTCTTTTTAAGAATAAGCGATCAAGTCAGATAGCCAAATTAAATTTCTGTTCTATTTTATTAGTCATTCCCAACTTTGCACTTTATGTCTGCCCTTTACATTTTATTTCTCTCAGCTTACATTTAGGAGAACAGTCTAGAGCAATAACAAAATTTCCATAATTCCTACCTCTTGCTAAACATTTACTCCTCCCCCATCACAAAAAAAAAATTCTTTTTCTTTTTGCTTCTTATAATTTAAAAAAAGGTCTGTATATTATCTGATAACATTTAGTATTGCATCATACAAATTTTAAGCAATAAATACATACTTTGTCAAATATTTTTACTAACAGAAGTATCCAGCCATGCCGAGGTTTATAAATATATACAATAGCTAGAGTTACATGAGTTTATTATACTTTGCATGAATTACCACCCAGTACACATGGCCTGAAGATTGTATTCAAACTTGAAACAGATTGTCGCCACTTGGTGTCCACTTTTATCTTTATACATGCTTTTTCCTTGATATTGAGCACTTACACCTATAAATATAGCATAGCTTAAAACTATATCATATATATATATGTGTGTGTGTGTTTCATGCTTGAACACAATCTTCTTGCCATGAAGGTTGCATTCAAGTATGAAATAGACTGTTGCTAGTCAGTGTTAACATCAATGTCCACTCTTCTTATATATAAAATCATTTCATCCCAAACAAGGCAATAAAGCCACTAAGATGCAAGAGGTTACTGAGTGTTAGAGAATATGAGAAAGAACAATAAAAGAACAGGCATTAAGAAGACAGATAACTGTAAATTGACGAGACCTTGCCTTCAATCTAGTACTACAATTAAATTCATAAACTCTACGTACCATAGAAAAAAATTCATCAAAACAATTGCCCAAAAAAATTTATAGAAAAGGCACAGAAAAGCTATGTTATTGCGTTAGGAATGTGACTGAAGTCTAGATGTCAGATCAAGACCAATAACATTGCAGATTCTTTGGATTATATCAAGAATCTCTAAATATATGACAGGAGTACCAGACCAGATGTGACGACAATATTCAAAGCAAGGATGAGATATATAGGATTATGAGGGATTACTGCCTAAATAAATACACAATTTTATATATATATATATATATATATATATATATATATAATTGTGTATTTAGGCAGCAGTCCTTCATTTATACATGTTTCATTGAAGATGACAGACAAGGTACTACGATTAAGCTTTTTATTTAATTTTTCTTGTGTTCGAACAAGTGTTTACTTTTCTGGACACAGAGTGTGTAGAAACTGTCCAATTGTTCTGTAATTCTGCTTGGAATTTGGACAGTTTCTTCACATTCTGTATACAGAAAAGAAAACTCTCGTTTGAACACAAGAAAAATAAAATGTTTAATCACAGTACATCATTTGTTGTCTTTAATGAAACATATATATAAAAGAGATATTTTTTCATATGAATTTTTTTTTCTATAATTCAAAGATATTGATTCTTTTCAATTCTTCTCTTTCAGAATCCTGAATCAATGAGAACCAAAATGGAGCTACTTATTATGCGAATACAAGTAAGTGAAAAAAAAATGACAAAATGTTAATCTCTCGTCTTTTTGTTGTCGTCTTCACCTTTGGCTGCTGTTCTCTATAGCTATCTTTCTGTCAGAATTTCTGAGATAATACATTGGTATTATGATATAATTATACTTTTAGACCAAACTCCTCATCTTTGTCAACTGTATCCTAATATTTCTGTCACTCTACCCTCCAGCTCTCTTTAGATGTCTGTAGTATTTGGAAACTTTATGATAGTTCCCATAATTTTTTCCCAATACAAGGCTCAAGAGCCACTCATGTTAGTCGTTTACCCTAATGAGGTGAGTGATATGAACATAAGAGGAGAAACAAAAAAGATTGCAGGATAGATAATGATTGATCCTCGGCTTTTGAAGAAGTTAAGATTGTTGTGTTTAAAGAAGCCACCATGTAATTGTCCATTCTATAAAGTAGCAGTTCTTGGGAAGGAACTCACTGATTGGAACTTCATTCTTAGAAATGGAATGCAAAGAGAATGAACTTGATTCAAACCAGTGGACATAGCACAGGGAATTTTAGTTGTAAAGATCTGAATAGATGGAACCAAAGAATGGTGCACATCAGGCTTGTAACGTTGCATCTGTGTTAAAGGAACTGGAGAGGTCAAAGTAAGTCATCTTTCACAAAGCCACATACACAATTTTGAACTCTGTGAAGGCTTGAAAGTGAGGATTAGACAGCTCCAGTCCAGATATGGCTGCCTAAGCATTGTGGTAATGACAGCAAAGATAAAGAAACAAGTCCAAAAGAATCTATGTATACTTGTAACAATACCTCTATCACAAATCTGTTCATACTAATCTTTCTTTTTTTAATTATTTTACTCCAAGCAAGGCAATAAGGCCACTTAGACACAAGGGGTTACTGAGTCTGAAGGAATATAAAAAAAAACACTATTACAGAGAAAGAACACTAAAAGAACAAGAATTATGAAGACAATAGAGAATGATTGACATTACTTTAAAATTTTTGATGATCATAGTTGACTGGGCTATCCATCTCAAATCTGTTCTTACTTCTCTATGTATCTCAGTCAATTCATTTCCTTGAAAAATATTCCATGTATATGTTAGCCATTGCTGGTGATGATGGTGATCCCATGGCTAAACATTCATCCTGCTGATATATGTCTGATTTCATTCCGAAGTATGTTGTTTGTGTAGGGAAAGTTAGCATCTCTATCAGGTTATCTATTGGCATACTTGTATGTTCTCCTAGGATGAGTCCAAGGTCACTCTGCCCCTGACTACTGATAGTGCCTCCTCCGTGTTTCACTTTCCATTTTTGCACATCTGCCTGAGGAATGTTCAAGGCTATTTCCTTGATTAGGGCGATGATGTCCAAGTATGGTCACTGCCTGATTATTGCTGCAAAGTTGTGACCCTTGTTCAGTACTGTAGGTAGTCAACTGGTATTGAATGAGGTTGACTACTGCCATCATGGGGTGGGGGTTGATGGACCTTGTGCATCACTTTCTGATCTTTCAATCTGTTCAATTTTTGTACTTGGTAGTTCCTTGACTGCATCAAATTCGTGTCTGAGATTTATACAGATCATGCTGGATTCTGTTTTTGGTCTTCTTCATCAGGAATTCTGTTGAAGAAGACCTCAAGCCTCTGGCAGGATATCAAATGGCAATTAATGTTTTATCCAACAGTTAAACTGGATTCTTTCTCAAGCATGTCCTACTTTTTCTGTGACCAGATGCGCTCACTTTGAATTGACCGGAAGTCTCAATGCCAAGCCTGAAAGAATGAGTTGTAAGTCTCTGCATTGGTGTACGAATATCAGATGGTATTTTTCTAATTGTTTCCATAGTTTTGGGATATTGAGTCTATACTGATCCTTCTCTATCTGTCTATATTTCTTAGATGTGGTATTTAACTATTTACGATATTGAGACTGTTGTCCTCATTTTTATTATCATATTCACAATGTTTGGGCTGTTGAAAGAAATATAATTTGAAATTTCAGAAATCTAGACACACACACACACACACACACACACACACACACACATATATATATATATATATATATATATATATATATATATATATAAATTACTATTTAAAATATTTTGTATTATATATATTTCAATAAATGAGATTTAACTATTTTCTTTTTAATTTTTGAGTATTTTTGTGGTCATGTATCTTGGCTTGGAAAAGGAGTAATTCTTTCAGAAAAGGAGATATTGGAAAGAGTCTGGGATGCAGATTTACATTTTGATAGGATTCAATAGCAGCACTGGCAATAAGTTTTTTCTATCTATGTTACTTTCTTTTTTAATAAGTGTGACATTCACTGGGTCAAAGGTGTTTGAATTTATTTCTATGTATAACTAATGCATTTAATAAATTGTTGTCTCTTTTGTGTTCATAAATATTTTTTAAAAATTTCTGATCATCTCTATAATACTTACCCATGAGCACTCCTATATCTAATGAGTTTTTAAAACTAATAACATTTTTACTCTTGTATATAAATACTTGTCACAAAATAAAATCATTAGATTTGCCTTGATAAAGTCCCTTAGAGAATGAAATGCATCAGCTAAGTTTTCCTTTCTTGTATGTATATATATATATATATAAAAAATACATAACCAAGTATATAATTGGTGAAATTTATGTTGAATTTTTTTTTTTTTAAATAATTATATATATATATATATATATATATATATATATATATATATATAAAAATATGTATTTCATCCTCTGAAGGATTTTATCAAGGCAAATGTAAGGATTTTATTTTGTGACAAGTATATATATACACATTCCACCGCGAGGAAAGTTGGCTCTCTGTGCCGCGCCAGGAAAATTTTTTTTCTCCCCTGAATCGATACTTCAAATATACAAAACAACCATTCGCCCTTGCATGGAGTATTGCTGCCTTATATGGGCTGGTGCACCTTCTGCTTACCTCGGAGTTCTTGACAAGATCCAGAGACGGATATGTAATCTAATTGGCCCTGATCTAGCGTCTTGTCTGCAGTCACTCTCTCACAGAATGCCTGGGTCGCCTCTCTCTGTCTTTTTTTCTACAAATACTTCCATGGTAACTGCTCTGATGAGCTGCTCTCTCTGGTTCCCAGACTCCATGAATTCAAGCGCGATACGAGGCTGGCATCTCGCTCTCACCCTTACACCATAGAAACCTTCATATGTAGCCGTCTCTTCTACTCCAATAGCTTCATACCTCGCACATCTCGCCAGTGGAACACCCTTCCCAATTACTGTTTCCTTGAAAGCTATAATCTCCAACTATTCAAATGTAATGTCAATTGACATCTCCAATTACCTTGATCTACCCACTATCCTTCTCCTCTTCCTTTCTCCTATCACTCTTATCTGCTCTCGCTCCAAATCTTCCGCAACCCCCTGCACCCTAGTGGCTTCACGCCTTGCTTGGGGCACAATGCTTAAAAAAAAACAAAAAACATACATACATACACATCAAATGTGGTTATATCTGTATTTATTAATATATATTTCTTACCTCTGTCTAATCACATTGAGCACTATTATGTCTACACCTCTCGGCTAAATTTGGCAATTATTTATTTGCTTACCAATGTATGCATGCCAGCATGAGCATATATGGTTGCTAATATCTTTCATTTACCTAACCCCATATAATGGACTCTCCTGTCGGTTTCGACGTATGAGGATCTGACAGCTTAATTGATTCAGTTATGAAATTTTGTGCAATAATCTTAAGTGACACTTAAGACCTGCTAGGGATTTACAAAGGAGGCCATATATGAAGCAAGAGTAAGGATTGTGGGTTGAAATCACTACTAGATTGGCTGACCTTTTAGATCTTGCTTTTGCTTCTTGAAGACGATTCAGACAAGCTGATTGAAAACTGCTGAGACCATTAAAACATGTTGATCTCCATTCTACTTGCTCCAAGGTTAAGCACTCGAGGGTGTTATGAGGTATATTGACAGCTGACAAGTTGCTCTTCAGCTTGTCTTTGTATCTTAGCCATGGGCATCCTATATTCCTGTAGCCCTGATCTAATTGGCTGTACATTAGCATCTTGAGTACTTGAAAAAAAAAAAATTACCTCATGGACGTCCGTACGTAAAAAGAATCTTGTAGAGAAGCCATATTGTTTTATACTGACAAATTAACACAAAATCATGGCGACCACGAGATTGGAGAGAATATAAATATGCAGTATACGAAAGACGACAGGACATTGCGACAAATACGATATCTACACTTTGTCAGTCAGGATTAGTGCCTACTAAGGAATTTAGGCCAGTCTATCGAATTTAAACTACAAGCTATTTCGGCTTATATATCTTACTTATTATAAAACGCAGGTTGTGTGTGTGTGTGTCTGTAACGTTTATATGTTGGATCGAATTTCCTACATTTTTAGCCGATTTCAACAAAACTCACAGGACTACATAAAATTACCTTGTGGTGGTTCTAAAAGGACCGAAAATGGGAAAAATACAGTTGTTTTTTAATAAAATCAATTTGAAAACACGATTAAGACACATCATGAGAATGAAAGGGGAGAACTCACCCACGAAAAATGTAAACAAAAGAGCATAGCATGATGAAAAATTTAACTTGACGAAAAAACAAAATTTTATCGTATTTTGGGGGTATTTTTTACATTTTTTAATCGTTCCTAGCACGCCTGAAATTTTCGTTAAAAATATTGTTTTTTTTTTGGTCAAAAAAAGGGCAGATAATCATTTTCAATCATTTTTTTTCGATTTGATAAAAAGATTAAAATCTTACTTTGATATTCTTTTAAAAATCAATTATCATTTTTTCAAAACTGATTTTAATAAAAACAGATATTATACTGTTTATTTAAAATATTTTGAACCAAGCTTAACTTAGCTTCTCTTGCGAAAAAAATGTAATTTGAAAATAAAGCAAAAGCAGGTCATAACCTTTCGGCGTCGCTTGATGATTGACGAAAGGCACATTCATGACGT